GAAGGGGACATTAAGCTCCTTGTAGTTGGTTTGACATATTAGATCTATAAGGTGATTGGCTCTCATAAAGGTGTATTTTTCCACATGTGTGAGTTTTACCATTTACTTTATTACCCATTGCCCTTGATGAATCTCTACACTATTTGATGATTGAAAACTAAGGGCTTTCGTGTATGGGCAAGTTGGATTCACTTGGAATAAAAATATGCACCTATGGACAAAAAGGTAAATTGATTTTAGGGTTTAATGTGCGTGATAAGGGTGTTAAATCCCATCCCGTCATCCTAGTAGTTGGATGGGGATGGGGATGGGTGACTAGGGTATATTGGCCTCTCATGTACCTTTGGATAGGTGCATCAAGGGTGCTGATGATATTCAATCTTACACGCTATGTATACATACTTCTTTAAGTCCCAAATTCTACGCACTTGGAAAATCGATCTTGCTTGAATTGAATAGAGAGAGCAAACATTGAGACATCCACATACCACCTATTTCCCTTTGAGAGTTCCCATCCTCCACTTTGAAGCTTGATGGTGGTCCTTCACTCCATAAGATCAAACTTATCTCATACCATGATCAAGGTATTATCTCTCTAACTTATTTTATATCAAATATCATTTTAGCCTTGATCAAAGGTTCTTGGAAATTTTATTTACAGCCATGCTTAAGCTTCCTTAGACCTTCATTTTGATGTTATCTTCATGTCATTCTTACATAGTGTGATCACTCACTTGCTTATGCATTGCTAAACCTTTGATCATGCACAGTTTCCTTTGATCTACCTTGCACGAATTCTATTGAGCATTTCTATGTCTTTTTATTCAAATTCCAAAGATATTTTGTTCCTCTTAGTAGTGTATTTGCTCATTTAGAGTTGAACTTTTGCATAAAAAGTTGTTGTGGTGGACCGGTGGACCACCACAAGCAATTTTACTCTATCTTGCTCTATATTGATCTGATTTGCTCCATTCTTCTTGCAAACTGTCTCAAATCGATTTAGTGGACTCTAAGAAGTGGTCTTAAAATTGTAAGAGCATCCTAATTGGATTAGATACCCTTGAGATTATAAACCACTCTTGCATTATTCATTGAGACAATTAAGTCCCTAAAAGGCATGAATTTGTGGCCCGGGCACAAGGGGTTCGAACCATGACTTCCCACATGTATGCATGCATGTTTGTTTACTGTATTTACAGTTATTAAATGATTTATGATTGATAGAACTAAGTATGTTATGTGAATATTGAGATTGTTCTTTAATCATGTGGCATGATCCATAATGTTATGCTTTATTGTTTATATGAATTGAAATCTCATTGGATTTTCTTTGATCGAATATATGGTATGTGTGTAACATGTGGTACGTGATGAGGATGAAGACTGAACGTATAATTACTATGTAATTTGGAAAGATGCGGAGTTTTGAGTACATGTAATTCAATGAGTTGTAAAGAAAAGCATATGTGTATTTGGACACTACATTGTTTGTATTTCTATTTCAAGAAAGGGATTTATTATGGGACCTATTAGAGTTAGATTTTTCAATAATCCAAGATGTGTATAAGTCCAAATTGTGGGCTAGAGTCTGTAATTTCATAACCCCATATGAAAGTTTTATGTAATTAGAGCATCATGTTTCAATAAAATGAAAATTTTTGAGTTAAGTATCTTGTCCCTTGGTCTTATACCACCCACAAAACATGGCCTCAAGCTCAAACTCTGCGGGGTACAGAGCCCATGTCAGAGGGTGACTCAAGCCGTGTCTCAAAAATACATAGCAATCTTGAACAGGTCAGACTAGGCACAATTTTTTAAGGTTAGTAACCCAGACCAGGCACCATCCTGGGTTCGAGTGACTCGGATGAGCCTAAGCGTGACTCGCCATTTTCTAAGACACTGAATTGTAGCAATAGGTCATTAGGCAGAAAGGTATAAAGGAGCCTATCAAGTTTAAGAAGGAAAACAGAAGGTAGCATCTGTCATGCCTGGCACCTGGAGAACAATATGAACTATAACTCAGAGCATTAGAAGTTCTACCAAGATTTTGTTGGGAAATGTGACAAGGTGCTAATTTTCAGTCGATAAATAGATGGGAAGGTATTAAAGAGTGAATGCCCTGGAGTAGGGACCTAAGTTCACAACCATGAATCCAAGGTAAATGAGTTATCCAACAAGAATTCCAATGATATTTGATGGACTTCACCCTCTAGAGAAACTTATAGTACTAAAACATAGTTGACCAACCTGCCATGCACTTGGGCCTTATATGAAATGTCTCTGTGAGGAGTGGGGAAAGGCCAGACAATGAAGTCCAGGAGAAAGCGATGACTTGGACGCTCTTAAAAATTGATGCAATGCAAACTTCACAGTGAGGAAGGTAGAAAAAATATCCATAAAGGGTTCAATTCATTGCATATATCGCAAAAGATAAAATCCTGATCATTGACCATCTCCAAAGCAGGGAAATGGTTTTGTCGAGTATGGAACTTTTTATGCGGGGAAACAGAGGAATCAATATGCATATGCATGTCTGATGCAAGTTCACTTAAGGATGTGTTATCATATCATTTGGATAATGCTCAAGTTTCCTTCTTTCTTAGTGTAAGTTTTGGTGAGTAAAGGTAGAAGGAGATGATAATGATTCTATGCTTATCAACTTTTGACCATATAATAGATTTAAAAAGAGAAGAAGAATTGGTTTTATTGGGTAGATAATTCAATCCAGATGTACTGGTCCTAATCATTTGTTGAGAACTGATCTCTTGGCCCACTCGAGCCCAAAAAGGAAAAGATTAGCATCACAGGAATCAAACAAATCTATGATTTAAGGAAAGCTGAAACCCCAAACCTGCCTCACATAGAATATACACTGCCTCCCTAGATTTCTTTTTTGCTTTTTATCTCATCCCTTTGGAAAAAAATTTTAAGAATAACTTTTCATGGAGAGAGTAGACTTAGGTGGGCTGACCATGTGTGGCATTGACCCAGTATAGCACCTGTTAGAAGGTGCGAGTTAGTTCAAGTAGAAGGATTGAAAAGAGCAAGGGGTAGGCCCAAAAGGATGTGGTTGGAAGTAGTCCGAAAAGATATGGGGACTTATGGCCTCACTGAGAGTATGGTCTTAAATAGAGCAGAATGGTGGACCAAGATTCGTGTAGCCGACTCCAATTAATTGGGAAAAGGCTATGATGATGATGATGATGATCTCATCCCTTTGCAAATGTTTTTTAAGGATAATTTTTCATGGGGAAGGAAACCCTGGCATGATGGACATCAAAATAATTTTTAAGAGTGTAGATGAAGCAACTCTGAAATGTTCATCCTAAGACCCTGAAAATCTTACTTGGGTAGAAGTAAACACTATCATGAAGGTATATGGGCCCTGACATGGGAATATGAGCTTCTCTCATTATTGGAGGCAATTTAGCAAACATTGTAGTTTGTATTGAAGGGGTATCTTTAGTTCCACGGAGGCTAAAAACCTCAAGTGGAATTGTTGTATTCCAAACGTCGTCAATGTACACAAGGAAGCTAACTTGGTAGTTGGTATTTTGGCAAAAATGATGTTTCTAGATCAAGTATGAGTACTAGGATTTACCGTTGCCATAAACCTCCATGAAATCTTGGAATTTATACTATCTTTCTTTAAAGTAATTTACAAGAAACTCAGAACATGAATAGAAAAATAATCTTTAGAAAACAACGAAACATATAAAGTACAAAGCACATAACAAATCAGTAATTTTCAGAAGGATTCTTTTTTTTTTTATGAACGTTCAGCATCCAAGAGAGATTTCGTGGCCAGGATCATGTCATCATTTAAAAGAAGTAGGATTAACCAGATCTCAAAGCTCTGGCCTAGGGTGGAAGGAATTTACTACATTTGCCACCCAATAACCCCTAGAACTTCTTCAAGGGGACTGTATTGATCAACCAGATCTCAAAGCTCTGGCCTAGGGTGGAAGGAATTTACTACCTTTACCACCCAATAACCCCTATAACTTCTTCAAGGGGACTCTATTGCTAATTTCATCAAATTGTACCTTGGATGCACCTCTACATAATAACTCTCTCTCTCTTTGTTTTTGAATGCTAACTTGTAACCTTAGAAGGGATAGATCTCTAGACATCATGTTGTGGCACCCTGCCACCATGAATACCAAGCTTAGAGGCCAGAGCATCCACTTTTATCTCAATGGGCACTAGTCAAGCTGAAGTGCGCAAAGTTTTATTAGTTTCAGGCCAAAATGCAAGTTACAGAGGAACGATTAGCATAGACATCCTGTTAACCACCCATTCTCAAAGACATATGGAGGAGATGAACTGCAATTCCAATAATGGACATTCACCTGGACCTACAGTTCATCTCCACCATCTATCTCTAGAATAGAAAGCGGGTGCCCCACCTGTGTATGGTATAACATACACTTGCAGTGTATGATAATCATTCCGAGGGTGAAACAGAGCAACAAAGTCCGCATCTATACTGAAAAGCAATTCATGAATCAGGCTCTTTGTCTAATGCAGCCATGGCTATGCCAAAATCTAGTGTTTTGTTCTGAAATTAAAGCAAAAATGCCATTTCCATGGACAATAATATTTTGGTATTTGGCATTCCAAATTGAGTTTTAATTGATCACCTTGAACTCACTCTGCACATGTATGCAGCATTCAAAAGCCATTGAAACAGTTGTATAAAAAATTTCGGCACATGAATTCGAACATCCTGACGTCATTGTGAGCAATATAATTGCAATAAATTGAACTAAACAGCAAAGAAAATATTAAACTGTGGCACCTAGCCAAAAATATATATGTATAACTGAGATCTAATTTAGACCGTGAAAGGATCGCATTGGAAACTACTATGGCTCACAAGGAAATTAAAAGATAAAAAAAAAAATACTAACAAAAATCAGAACCATGGAAATAGGGCATATATCTCCATAAATAAAATCCATAAATCCATCAAACTCTGAATCGCAGATCATGCCTACCTGTATATGTTCAATGTTCTTCTGATTCTGATTTTCCCCAAAATATCTTCTAAATCTGGAAAAGAGAAAAAGGATGAGATAAATAACAGTCAACTTCAAAAACAATAAAAAGAAAAAGGGAAATTGCAGTTAGTGATACACTCAATCCACTGTGATTTGAGAGAAAAATTGAAGGTTGGTTTGATCAAAAGAGAAGTGAGATTGTGATGGTGAGTCAAAATGAGAAAGGGAAGAGGAAAACCAGGCCTCAAAATAATAAAGAGTGGTTATTAATTTCTGTTTCTTATTTTGTTTGTTTTTATTGAAGTAAAGAAATTAGGTAGATTTAGATGGAATGAGACACGAAACACCACGAATTTCCTCATGCAAATGGGCTGTCACACCAGGACAAAAGTTTTATTCACAAAAAATTGATTGAATGAATGTTCTGCTAACTATGGTAACTAGCACTTGGGAAAAATAAAGTGAATGATCTCTCTCTCTTAATTAACATTTGAAAAAAATAAAGTGGATGATCTCTCTCTCTCTTTCTAGCTCTATGATATTAGTATTTGAAAAAATAAAGTGAATGATCCCTCTTCTCTCTCTCAAAGTGGATAAGCTCTCTCTCTCTCTAAAAAAGTAAGGCGTACCTTCAAACAAAGTAGGGTGTGGTTTCCTTGAACAATCAAATTAAAGCGTATCTTGTAATATAGTCGAAATATTTTATTTTATTTTTCAGTATTATCAATTTTAATAATGACCTAAATTTATTTTCATCTTTAATTTTAAAATTTAAAGATTCAAAATAGTGTAGATAGAACGGATATATGAATATATGAAAATCTTGAAAATTAAAGGTCTAGATAATGCATTGCATGTGCATTATTTCCAATACTTGAAATCTATTTTTTTTCTCATGTCCAGATATCTTGAGGTCAAGATGATCGAATTCAAAGGATTTTCAGCATTGAAATAATCTCTTCTAGTGAATTTTTGCAATACATTTTAATTTGATAGTTTAGAGCGTCTCCCTTAAATAAAATTTTTCTAATAAAATAATGTCTCAAGATTGAACAAGAACCATCCAATTTTTTGAATGAAAGATCTAGATGATCAAGAACTCAAAATCTATTATTTTTCGTTCTTGAAAATAATAATCTAGTGATATTAGATGGATCTCAAAATTTTAAATAAAAAAAAATTCCACCAGAGTATTTATTGCTCGCAAGGGAGTTGTTGTACAATTTGCTCCTACGTAAGCAAGCTATGAGTTTTAAATCTTTTGACCATGGTAATCACGTTTTCAAAAAGCGTTGGTATTGCGTCCGGACACTTAAAAGGTGACAAGCAACTGTAATGGTTCAGATTGAACCAGCCTCAGCCAAGGGTCAAAAATGATTTTTGTTTTCTATTTTTAATTGTTAATTTAAAATGACATTAATATAAAATTTGGGTTTTAGTTTTAATTTTATAAGTAGAATTACACAAAACAATAAACAAATTTAAAACATAAAATATGATCAAAATAAATTTAGGGATATTTTAATCATTTTATTCAAAAGATTTTTTGATTATTTTTATAAGTATCGATACTATGAGACACTCTCATACTGTGAGTAGGATATCAAATGATCACCATTAAATTTTTGAGATAGATTTCTAAAAAATTTATCAATAAATCCATTCACCCAAGTCTCAATCCCATGCAATAACTTTTTTAAATATCTTTATCAAAATTAATAATGATCTTTTGAGGTACTACTCACATAGATGTGAGAAGGTGTCATAGTGTCATTACTCTATTTTTATACACTTTTATTTACAAAAACTTAACATACAGCTCAAAATTAGAGAAATATCTTATTTAAATAAATAAATAAAAATAAAATATAGAAATTAATTTTTGGCCAATGGAGCCCTTGCGAAATTTCAAAAGGTTCAACCAGTGTTTTAAAAAACGCCGAGTCGAACCGGACTCGCCCGGTTCGACTCGAAAATCGTGAAAAGGGGACCGGATCGCCTAAAAAATCGGAAATCATCTGGTTCTAGAGAGAACCGGACGATTTTGTGCAGTGAATCGCCGATTCATTGTACGGAATCGGCGAGTCCGAACAGTGAATCGGCGAGTCCCGTACGGGATTTTTTTTATTTATTTTTTTTTTATTTATTTATTATTATTTTTTTTTTTTGTAATCCATGATAGATTTTTTTGTAATACTTGGTCGATTTTTTTGTAATCCATGATCGAATTGTTTTTGTTTTTTTGTAATCCATGATCGAATTTTTTGGTTTTTTGTAACCTATAAT